GTTTGGAGGATGGTTGAGCCAAGGAAGTGGTTTCATATAAACTTCTTCTTCTAGGTCACCATTAAGAAATGCATTTCTCACATCCATCTAAAACAATTGCCATCTCCGTATAGCAATGATAGCAAGCAAACTGCAAACAGATGTGAGACGAGCAACTGGAGCAAATGTTTCCTCAGAGTTTATTCCATACTCCTATGTAAAAGCCTTAGCAACCAAGCGTGCCTTATAATGCTCCATAGAACCATCAGATCGTGTTTTGATCTTGCACACCCATTTACAGCCCATTAGAGACTTTTCAGCAGAGAAATCAACTAAATCCCATGTACAAGTGTTCTTAAGAGCTTGTAATTTATCTTTCATAGCTTACTGCCAAAAAGGGTTAGAAGAGGCCTCTTTATAAGATTGAGGTTCATGTAAACAATGATAATCACAAAGGTAGCTGGGAAGGTTTCTTACCTAAATAAGATGACTCGAGGATGGGACAACATGCTCATTTGTAGGCTCAATAATATCAGATGCAACATCAACAGGTGATATAGACAAGGAAGTAGAAGAAGGCTCAGAATTATCTAATGTATTACCAACATGCGGATCATCTTTTATAGAACTAGTTGCAACATTTAGTGATACATTGTTGAGCTATTAGATGTACCTACATCAGAATCACTAGGAAATGGCCCAATAGAAGGCCCAATAGAAGGATTAGCAAAAAATGGAGGTTGATAAGAAGATGACACTTTGAAGTTTGACAACGATGAAAACATAGTATGTTCCCAAAAGACAACATGACGTGAAACTTGGAGTTTTTGTGACACAGGATCCTAACAACGATATCCTTTTTGTGTAATCCCATAACCCAAAAAACAACATAATCATGGTCTAGGCTCTAACTTGTTATGTTCATGAGGTGGAAGAAGAACAAAACATGCACAACCAAAAACCTTAAAAAGATTATAGGCAGGAAGAATACCACGTAAACGCTCGTATGGAGACCGGTTATTAAGGACTGATGATGGAATGCGATTAATAAGATAAATAGTTGTAAGAGCAGCTTCACCCCAAAATCACACTGGACAAGAAGATGAAATGAGCAGAGCACGAATAGAATCAAGGATGTGTCTGTGTTAGCGTTCGGCTTGTCTATTTTGTTCAGAAGTGTAAGGACAAGATTGTTGTGTTAGTGTATCATGTTCTTTCAGAAAGGATTGAAGTTTAGTACCAAGATATTTAGTAGCATTGTCAATTTTCAAAACTTTGATCATTTTAGAGAACTGAGTTTTGACCATGGTAGCAAAATCAATATAAATTTGTGATAATGCGAAATGATTTTTCATAAGGTATATCCAACTACAATGAGTATGATCATCAATAAATAAGACAAAATACTTGGAACCCCCCATGGTGGGTGTAAGAGATGGACCCCAAACATCAGAATGCATGAGATCAAAAGGAGTAATAGAATGGTAATGACTACTCAAAAAAGATAAAGCTGGTTGCTTTACAGATTGACATGACACACAATGCAAGGATTTATTTGGAACTAATCCTAATAAACCACGAGAGATAAGTGGACAAAGTTTACCGACTGAGGTATGTCTGAGCTGTGAGTGCCACAAATGGAGAGGAGAAACGTTAGTAGCAGCATAAGCTTGCAAAATTTGTTGGTATGGAATTTGTAAATACTCTAATTCAACAGCACAAAGCAAGGTTTAGATGAATCGATCATTTGGAAATGATGGTGTATCCATTTTATTATCAGGAATATGCAGATAGTTGAGCTCAAACAAACGACCCACCTTGCAACCGGTTCTAAGAAGTTGTTCTGTCCATGGGTCATGCACATGATAACCATGAGCATAAAATGTTACTTCAAGACCAAGATCACATAATTGACCAATAGATAGAATATTATAAGTTTTGGAACTAAGAGGGCATTTGGTAAAGTCAATGACTTTGTAGAAATATTACCAACGTGACTAACATTCATAGGAGAACCATTAGCAGAATAAATATCAAGAAAGGAATTATTTGGTGACATTAAAGAGAAATGAGCAGTAATTGAAGACATATGGTTACAACAACTAGAATCAAAATACCAAGGTTTGGTACTTGGAGCAATTGATAAGGTAGTGAGAGCATTAAAAATATTTAATATCACCTGTTTTAAGGATTCAAGATTGACATTAGGTTGGTCTATCACTTCTTTGGCAACCATAGCAGTAGCAAGATGAGTTACAATCCTTTCAAAACTTGCCATAGAATCAGTAAAACGCACAATGTTGAAAAACTCTAAAAACATGAAGAAATAGATGCCAAGATCGGAATGACAAACCAACAAAATACCTTAAAAATGGCCTAAGAATCAAGGATAAACAATCCAATTTGTAGGAGAAGAGATCCAATGACAAAGTTTCAAATTTGGAATGGAATTGAAAATCCAACTCCAAAAACCAAATAGCGATGATAAGAGAAAAGAACCAGGAGCTTATTGCTCTAATACCATGTTGGAAATAGAAAAGAAGAAGAATAATTTGATGAAATGTTTATTGCTTTCTTGAATAATACTGTATATACAATGACCTATATGTAAGTGTTTACAAAGAGAATATTCTAAAGTATAAAGCATATAAAGTGAATATTCAAAAGTATAAAATATTTATAATAATTTTGAATATAATTGTGTTCACATCTTAATAATCTCCAGATATAATTCTATTTTCTTGTACTCTTGATTTCATAAAAATTATCTTATATCTTTTTGTTTAAAAAATATCATTAATATATATATATATATATATACAAATTTGAAATAAGGTTTACCAAAGTATAATAAAGATATCAGTGGTTGCCTGTTGAAGGACAGTGCTAACAAAGATCATTTTGCCTATGCCACGAGTGGATTCCCTCAAGATTCAACCAAGCAATTTTAAAAATGCAAACGAATAATAATCCAAGTAACTAAAAGATGAGTATGCTTTATATCAAACCTGTGCCATTCTTC